TCCATCCAGTCTATGTTTTGATTGACCCATGTGGTTCTTTGTTTCTCCCTTACTACAAGTCTTCACTTTATTACTGAGAGTATTTCAGTCCCTGTTTTGATTGACGGTACCTTCTCACTATTTTTTGTTTAATTTTTTGGGTCAATATATGGCCCTAATCCTCAGCCTTGACTAATTGTATCTCTCCATAGTTTGTGGTTGATTATACGTGCCTTGATTCTAGTCATTTTTTCCTCTTCCAATAGTAATGATTGTTGCAGGTTGTTGTTTAGATAGTAGCATACTGAACTTACCAATGAAACCACCACTAGTTCCCAACCACCTGAAGGAGAGAGTCCCATTATGACTATTGCATCAGAAAACCTCAACCCTAGCTTGAAAATTACCACCTCTTTGTTTAATGGTTAGAATTATCTTGCATGGTCATAGTGTCTAACACTCTTCTTGAAAAGCCAAGGAAAAATGGGTTATATTGATCGGAGAATCCAAGCACCTAGTACTACTGATCCTAGTTATGACCAATGAAAGATTACAAATTCTCTGATTATGGGATGGCTCATTCACTCATTGGTTCCTGATATTGGTGAGGGCGATTTATCTATGGATACAGCTCAGGGCATTTGGGATGCTGTGGTTGCTTCCTATTCCCGGAAGGAGAATTTTTCACAAGCCTTTGAGTTGCGCCGCTCAATTGAGCACTCAATACAGGACGAGATAACCATCCTTCAGTACTTTACTTTCCTTAGTAATGGCTGGAAACGTCTGGATCATCTTTAGGACCACAAACCAATCTGCCTGACCGATTCTGTGGGGTACCACAAATTTATTGAGCAGGAGAGGGTCTTCAAATTTCTGAAGGGTCTTAATTTGGAGTTTGATCTTGTTCGAAGTCGTGTTCTTGGTATGGATGTTATCCCTTCCCTTCAGGAAGTGTTTGCTTATGTTCAGAATGAGGAGAGTCGCCGCTCAACTATGCTTCCTCTTGCTTCCACAGGGCGCTCAGCCGTAGTCTCTACTCCTCCTAGAGATGAAGATCATTTGTCCTGTGGTACACGCAATCCTTCTGAGAAGAATCCTTTGTTTTGTGACTACTGTTGACGGTCTAAACACACTCGTGAGACATGTTGGAAGCTTCATGGTACTCCATTTAGGGGTTGTGGTGACCGCTTTGGTAGTCGAGGGGGTCGATTTGGACAATCTAGAGGATGTGGGTCTAATTCACGCTCCCATCATTCTAGTGCAGTTGATACATATGACTCTTCTCCAGTTGTCCCGTCTACTAATGTTGTATCTGGTATGTCTTCTTCTGAGTTTGGGGATGCTCTATGTTACTTGCTAGACCGCCAGACTTACAAAACTCCTACCAGTGCATCTTCCTCTTCGTTTGCTCATTTAGGTAACTTAGCCTCTTCTACAAATGCTTTCCTAACTCATAAAACTTTGCCTTAGATTATTGATTCTAGTGCCTTGGATCATATGATCGGTTCTTCTGATCTTTTCTCGGAATATAAGCCCTCTTCAGGTCAGGACAAAGTAAGGATTATTGATGGGACTATTTCTTCTGTTTCTGTGAAAGGTTTGATCCATGCCATATCTTCTTTACCTTTGTCATCAGTTTTACATGTTCCCAGTTTCTCTGTCAATCTTCTTTCATTAAGTTGTCTTACTTAGGATTTGAATTGTAGCGTAACCTTTTTTTCTTGATCATTGTCTTTTTTAGGACCTTATCACGAGGAGGACAATTGGCAATGGTAGAGTAGAGAATGGTCTCTACATCTTGGATCAGGTAGATCACATGGCTCATTGTACCATCCAGTCTCCAACCACCAAAGACGACATTTGGCTTTGGCACCGACGTCTGGGACATCCATCTTTTTTATTACTTAAGCATTTGTTTTCTTTTTCTTTTAAGAACAATAATGCTTCCAAGTATTAATAAAAGTTCCGTTCCTTTTCATTGATTTATTTTGATGTTTGGGATCCCTCTCATGTTGTTTCATTAAAAGGCCATAGGTGGTTTGGCACCTTCATTGATGATTTTTCTCACACTATTTGGGTGTATTTACTAAAAGAAAAGAGTGGGGTTTTCTTTATGTTTTAAACCTTTCATCAGATGATTCACACTCAACTTGGGGTGGTTGTAAAAATTCTGTGTTCTGATAATGGGAGTGAGTGTATTGATTCGGAGTTAGGGAAATACTTCAACACTCATGGCATTATTCATCAGACTTCTTGCACCAACACCCCTCAGCAAAATGGGGTTACGGAACACAAGAATCCTCATCTTCTTGATATAGCTGGCTGCATGACTTTTCTATGCATATACCTTGGTCTTACTGGGGTGAAACTGTCCTCATCACTGCCTATCTTATCAATCGCCTTCCTACTCAAGTGTTGCACAAGGAAACCCCTCTTCATGTATTCTTTGGCTCTCAGCCCGTGTCTTCTATTCCCTTCAAAGTTTTTGGGTGTGTCTGGTTTGTACACAATCATTCCCCTACTTGTGGTAAACTCGATCCTCGTTCTCTTAAATGTGTCTTTCTTAGGTACTCACCTACTCAAAAGGGGTATAAGTGTTATCATCCTCCTTTACGTAAGTGGTTTGTATCTATTTGTGTCACATTCTTTGTGTCTCAATCCTACTTCTTGTCCTATCCTTTCCCAGTCATCCCTTCAGGAGGAGCCTTGGTGTGAAGAGATTTCTGGCATAGGAGTATTACTTGTTTATAAACCTTTACCAGTTGTTGAGGATATAGCATGTGAGCCACAATGTGAACCAGCTATTGGGAATACATAAGCTAATACACTCAAGGAGCAAGGAAAAGTTTATGTCAGGGACGAAGAAAGACAGAAGGTTACTTGGATTCAAGAGACCACTTCTCCCGATCTTCCACTGCCGTCTCCTTCAACTAATGAGAGTCAAGGTAACTCTGATAACCTTAAATACACAGATCTTGATATTCCTATTGCCCATCGGAAGGATGTGAGGTCTTATACTCAACATCTTATCTCTAATTTTGTATCCTATTCTAATTTGTCTTCCTCATATAAAGCCTTTGTATAAAAAATTTTCTCTATTAGTATACCTGATCATTTTCAGGATGCTCTTTCCACCCCTGAGTGGAAACGTGCCATGATTGAAGAGATGAAAGCATTTCATAAGAATGGCCCTTGGGAATTGACATAGTTACCTAAGGGCAAACGAACTGTGGGATGCAAGTAGGTGTATACTATGAAGCATAAGGCAGATGGTTCAATTGAGCACTCTAAGGCTTGGCTTGTGGCAAAAGGCTTTACTCAGACTTATGGAGTAGACTTTCAAGAGACATTTACACTAGTTGCTAAGATGAATTCAATTGGGGTACTCCTCTCTCTGGTAGCTAATCTGGATTGGCCACTTCACCAGTTTGACCTAAAGAACGCTTTCTTACGTGGTGATCTAGAAGAAGAGGTGTATATGGACATTCCTCCTAGCTTTGAAGATCTTAAAAGATTTGGCGATTTCCGAAAAAATAGTCCTTAAGGGCTTGGTTTGAGAGATTTACTTAGGGAATTCTTAGCTATGGATTCAAACAAAGTCAACCTGTTCACACTCTGTTTGTTAAACATTTCTTATTTGATAAGACTATAGCTCTCATTGTATATGTGAATGACATAGTATTTACAGGAGATGATGTTGAAGAAATTCTTCGGTTGAAGGAATATTTGGCAAGTGAGTTTGAAATCAAAGACTTGGGGAACTTGAAGTATTTCTTAGGTATTGAGGTTGCCCGGTCCAAGGATAGAATCTTCATCTGTCAGAGGAAATATATGCTTGATCTATTAAAAGAAATCAGGATGTTTGGCAGTAAAGTTTGTGACACACCGCTAGAGCCAAACCAGAAACTTGGTGATGATAGTGGAGGAGTTCTTGTTGACAGGGGAGTTATCAGAGACTAGTACGTAACCTTACTTACCTATCCCATTCACGTCTTGACATTGCTGTTGCGGTTAGTATAGTTAGTCAGTTCATGCATGCTCCTCATGAGGCACACATGGTTGCAGTTTTGTGGATTCTTGGATACTTAAAATCTTTGCCCGGAAAGGGCTTCTATTTTTCCAAACATAATCATCTTAGTGTGGAAGCTTATACAGATGCTGATTGGGCATGATTGATAACTAATAGAAGGTCCACATTAGGGTATTGTACATTTGTTGAGAGAAATTTGGTTATTTAAAGAAGTAAGAAGCAAAAAGCAAAAAGCAAAAAGCAAAAAGCAAAATGTGGTGGCTAGATCTAGTGCAAAGGCAGAGTTAGAGCCGTGGCACAAGGTGTGTGTGAACTTTTGTTGATCAAGTTACTTTTGAGTGATCTAGGGACTGAGCAGACAGACTCCATGCGGCTATACTATGACAATAAGGCTGCTATTAACATAGCTCACTATCCAGTTCAACATGACCGAACAAGACAAGTTGAAATTGATCGTCACTTAGGAGAAACTCACTAGTGGCACTATATGTACTCCTTTTGGGAAGTCTAGAGAACAGCTGGCAGATATTCTCACCAAAGGAGTTGCTCATAAACCGTTCCATGATATTATTAGCTAGCTGGGCATGAGAGATATTTTTGCACCAGCTTGAGAGGAAGTGTTAGAATAATATCTTTGTGATTGTGATTTATTATTTTGCTTAGCTGTCATCAGTTGTAGTTTCCTTTTGAGCCTTGAGGCTTCTATTGTACGTTTCATATTATTAATATATAAGGGAGTGATGGTTTCATCATTCCCTAAGTTTGATTTCTCCTAAAATAAACAGAGGCTTCAGCAGGGCAGTTGCAGTGAGGAGGATAAGATTGGGTGTTCGGTTGAGGATAGTTATGTGGTGGTGTCTTTTAAATGGTGGAGAGATCTTTTATGCTTATTTGCTTTTCTATCATATGGATGAATGTATCCCCTTTTCTAATAACTTATTAGTATTAGTGTTAGTCTATCACTTAGTCTCATTTCTTCTTCATGATTTAGTGTCTTAACTCCATATTACAACGAAGATGTTCTTTATTCCGAGGAAGAACTTAAGAAGGAAAATGAAGATGGAATTACAACTTTGTTTTACCTCCAGAAGATCTATCCTGGTGAGTTTTAAGTTGGTTGAGGCATTATGATGTTCTTCATTTGATACAGGTATAGATAATTGATTTCTTTTTTTCTTTTTCTACCAACTAGAGGAATGGGAAAACTTTGAAAGGCGCCTAAAAGCTGCAAAACATGAAAATTCTGAAAAAGACAAAACCGAATTACGTCAGTGGGTATCTTACAGAGGGCAGACACTCTCTAGAACAGGTTTGGATCATTAGAAATGTGACGTCTCTGTTTCTTTAGCAAAGTTTATTGAATTTTACTTTTGTTAACTTATTTCTACCAGTCAGAGGGATGATGTACTACAGGAAGGCTCTTGAATTACAATGCTTTCTGGACTATGCTGATGACAGGGGTTAGTAGTTTCTGCCACGAATATTTGTGTTGGTATTTTGAGTCAATGTCTTCACTTGTTAATCCCAATTTATCCCATACTAATGTGACTTGTCATTGGTGGAATGGAAGCCAATTAATAATGAACTTCTGTTTCCTATGCAGATATTTTGAGCGGCTACCGGACCAGTGACAGCCATAAGGATCTCAGGGAAGGTTCACAAGCTTTGGCAGATTTGAAGTTCACCTATATTGTTTCTTGTCAGCGCTATGGTGCTCAGAAAAAATCCAGTGATGCCAGAGACAGAAGTTGTTACTCTAACATTCTGAATCTCATGTTAGCGTAGGTTACTATTTCTAAAATTAACTTATAGTAGTTGATGATATTGAACAAATTATTTATTTAGTTTGAACCCCCTTGTGAATTATCCAGGTATCCATCTTTACGTGTTGCTTATATCGATGAGAGGGAGGAACCTGGAAAACCTGGGAAAAATTATTACTCTGTTCTTGTCAAGGGCGGGGAGAGGTTAGATGAGGTGTGAAGTATATCTACTTATAAAGTGAATTTGTTTTCTAAATGTTTGTATTTCTTACAATTTTTGTAATAATTACAGTAGTTCCAGAGTAACTTTTTTCTTTTATCATTTTAATATATGTGATAGCGTAAGTGTCTTTCCATCTTGCATTTGTAGGAAATATACCGTATCAAGCTTCCAGGCCCGCCAACAGAGATTGGTGAAGGGAAACCTGAAAATCAAAATCATGCTATTATTTTCACTCGTGGAGAGGCTCTGCAGACCATAGACATGAATCAGGTAAGTTTAATTTTGTCCCCATAATTTGAAAATACATTTCCAACTGACTTACTGTTTATCTTCAGGATAACTACCTTGAAGAAGCTTTCAAAATGAGAAATGTATTGGAGGAACTTCTGAAAACTCATCATGGGCGGCGAAAACCAACAATATTGGGTCTAAGGGAGCATATTTTTACTGGAAGGTTGGGCTATCATGTTTATGTATATAAAACTTGTCTTGATGATTGATTGCTAGGGTTAAACAAATCAGCAAGCAGAGAAAGTGTGTAGAATAATGGTAATGTATATACTACTCTTATTTGGTTGTTCTGATTTACAGTGTTTCATCACTCGCCTGGTTCATGTCCAATCAGGAGACAAGTTTTGTGACCATTGGCCAACGAATTTTGGCGAACCCTCTAAGGTAAGTTCCCTTCCTCCTCCCTGCCTGCATACCTAAAAAATTTCACTGTGTATTTATAAATGATGCTCTAATTAGTTTAATGTGACAATTAGTAATTCAATTTTAAATTTCAGGTCGGTTGCTATTTCTATACGTTATTGTTCTTATATTAGTTGTTGTTCTTCTGAGAGAGGCTATGGAGATTTCATGCGGAAAGCTAGTATTTAACTTATAAAATTTGGACTTGGATCTTGCAGAAAATATGTTTTTTTGGAGCTTAAAGACATATATTTTATAACCGTTATATATGCCTAAGTTGAATGCTTCCTCTATCCCAAAATGACTTTTATCTTTGAAAGGACTTTCTCTCAGTAGATGCAACAATTGCATTCACACGTTATCCTTTTAATATTAGTTTTCAACACTATCACAATGTTTTCTTCTCTTTTGGTAGCAGGTACTATTACTTTTGCCATGGTTTCATCTACTGATTACATTAATAGTTTACACCCTATTTAGTCTATCCATAACAAAAGGGTATTTTGGTAAATAGATTTTATTTTTTTTCATGGGAAATTCTGTCTGCACAGCACAAAAAATCTCAATACACACCATTTGTATTGCTCGGATATAAAATTCGATCAAAAGTCAAATATTTAGACAAAAACTTCTGAACAAAAATGAATTGTTCAGACATATATTCCATTCAATTATTTATGTCCGAACAACTATTTTTGTTCATAAATTTATGTCTGAACATATGACTTTTGCTCAAAAGTTTATATCCAAATGGCATAAATGGTGTGTACTAAGATTTTTTTGTGGTGTGCAAATAGAATTACCCTCTTTCATGAAATTTTTACTTAGACAACTACAGTTATTAAAGGAGGCACACTAAGGCATCAAGATCTTAAAGACCCTAGGTGCAGCTTAAGGTGTGAGCCTGTGCAAATTAAGCCACAAGTATGATAGAAATGTACTATTAAATATACTTAAAGCTGAAAGTTTCCAAATTATGCTGCACAAACTACTCTTGAATAATGTTTTGGTATATCAGCGACGATGCTATCGAGATCATCCATCATATATCATTTCAATTTTGTATACATTTAGCTTAATTTTTTTTTATGAGGGTAGGGTTTTTTCCTGTCTTTGGTATGACAACCAAGAGATTTTGGCAAGCAAGCTGACTGTGCATTTAACATTGTTCAAATTTTGTATTTAAAAAATTAATAATAATATTTCCATCACAAAATGGGCTTACAAGTACTGAAATGACGGCTAATTACCAATATATCAGATTACTCGTTCATAGTATATATTTTCCACTATCGTTTTCCTGTGCATTCATGCCCATGTGCTTTCTCTCCTTTTGCAATTGTGACAAAGTACAAAGTGAGATTTAGGTATTTTTAAGTGTGCAATCCACCTGTTTAATGATAAGTTCAAAACCAATATATAATTGGTCTCTACCAGCAGTCTGCAGTTCAATTCTGCTCTTAGAACTCCTTTCTTTAACCCATTGAAGCTTCTAACTTGAATGAGTTGAATCAAATAAAGAGCAATAAAGTAATGAAGAGGGGCAAAAAGAAAGTAGAAGAGGAAAGTGCTGGAAGCAGTTTGGTTTCTTAGACAGATTGCTCCGTTACCATGTCAGTATTCTCAAAAAAAGAAAGAGAAGAGTATAGAAAAGAGAAAGAGAATAGAAATGAAAGACATAAGATAACTCAAGCCTAGCTAGTCGGGCTAATCCTTTTGATTTATTATTTCTTGTTAAAAGATCATACTGCTTTTTGCAGTACAATAGTCACAAAACAACTGGATGGATTAAAGGTCCATGTGCTTTCCAGATTTGTCTGTATTAGTATGGGATATAACTCTATAGGCGATAAAGGCAATGTGTTTGCAGCTCTCATGACAATTAAATTCGGTAAACCTTAGTTAATCTGTCCTTTTCAAGTTTAAAATAATAAATAGAAATCCCAGTCCAACATGTAGGACCAACATCACCCCTATAAAATAGAAATGAGGTTGTCAATTTAATTGAGGTTAGAAATAAACTCTAATTGGCATGGCTTGGGATGTTTGAAAATTTACCATCACCATAGTTTGAATTAGGGTTGGCTGGGTGTGGTGTCGTGTCGTGTTGGGTCATGTCATTTCGGGTTCGTGTCAAAATTACCACAACATTAACCCAACCCATTTATTATTTCGTGTTATCGTGTCGTGTTAACATATCATGTCAAAATTTCACCATTAGCTAAAATTATTGTTAGAATTTCCCATCTTTACCTTCACCTACTCCACTACACACTCCACTTCACCTACCTCTACTCCACTACACACTCCACTTCACCTAACCCACTATACAACATCTATCAATAAATCAATAATACATAATTTGTTTCAATTATCAAGTGCGAAAAAAATTATAAAATTTCTCCTCAAGTTAAATTTAATGAAATTAATCTCTATTGAATGAAATTGTTCATAAAATTATTTGGTTTCAACTCAATTTTATTTTCTTAATTTACAAAACTATTTCCTATTATTATATTTTTTTACTAGATTAACTCAAATAGTAGACAAAAAAAATATTATCTTCAATTAAAAACAAAAGCAAAACCTATATTAGGCTTAAAGTCATATTTTACATACTTTTTAATAAGCTGGATGGAGTTACATAAGAGATTAAAAAATATCATGGCACCCATTAGGGGACATAATATTATAATGTGTAACTAATTCTTCATTAAATGGGTTTTCCGTGTCTACTTTAGGTTATATTCAAGTTCAACCCTAATCTGACCTATTTAAAATTCATGTTATCAGGTCGTGTCATATACATGTTTGTGTCAGAAAATAGTCAACCCTAACCTGCTAACTATGTGTACAATTTGAGTCGGGTTATCGTGTCATGCCGAAAATTCCCACCCTTAGTTTGAATAGGCATGCTTCGTTGTTGTTTCTTTCAAATGTTTATTTGACCTACCACATTTTTGGGAGTTATGTTTTGGAAAATAGTAAAATTATTGATGTCACAAATTAACTAATGAACTCACAAACACATCTAGATACTAGTCAAACTAAAATAATAGTAACTAAACTTACTAATGTCTCAATTTCTTAATATGAAATTTTTTCCATATTGTTAAATTCTGTCTGAAATGAATGATCATGTGCAGATTACTTTATGGAATCATATTGTTGTTGTTATCAAGCAAAAAAAAATTTTCGTTGAGAATCCTTTATCCAGTTTTCTCAGCCAAACTGTCAACTTAGTCAAGAATTGCTCAAGCTCAAATATTATGGCTTAGACTAATTAAGCTGGTCTATTTCTACAATATTATCATGTGAGTTCTAATTAAAGGTTGATCAATTATTTACAGGGTACGGTTCCATTATGGTCATCCTGATATATTTGATAGAATCTTTCACATAACAAGAGGTGGCATAAGCAAGGCTTCCAAAATTATTAACTTAAGCGAGGACATATTTTCAGGTAAACTTTTAGTTCTTCAAAAGATGGCAAACTTTTAATATAATTGATGGTTAATTGTGTAAATCTTTTCAGGTTATAATTCGACTTTACGTGGAGGATACGTAACGCATCATGAATACATACAAGTAGGCAAGGGGCGTGATGTTGGATTGAATCAGATATCTCTTTTTGAGGCTAAAGTTGCAAATGGAAATGGAGAGCAGACACTTAGCCGTGATGTTTATCGGCTTGGACGCCGGTTTGATTTCTATAGAATGTTGTCATTCTATTTTACGACAGTTGGTTTTTACTTTAGTAGCATGGTATGTTAATCAAGTTAATCTTCTTGAATTAAGTTATGTCTTCTAGTCAGATGAAAATTTCCAAATATTCACAAATAAGTATGATCATGTTGCCGTTGCAAATTATGTGACTAGGTTGCCTTAGTTATGGTAAGGACGGTCCTTCTTGAGGGACTAGGTGATGATAAGTGGGAATTTGAACCCTCAGTTGGGAAGTGATTCTTAAATTGACTAGTAAAAACAAAAACAAAAAATGGGAAAAAAAAAAGAAAAGAAAAAGGAACAAACTAAATGTGCATGCATGTGAGTGCCGGGATTTTGTGGGGTGGGGGGTAAACTCTGGACAATTTTGCTCATAGACGTCAATTGTTTCGAGATGGTCTCTGTTTAACCAGTTCATGGAGAAAAATTAACAAATACATTTAATTTATTACTAACAGTAGTAGTACTTGGGTATTCAAATTTTGTACTTGTTCATGAGCAATGCTACTGCCCATACCTTGAAGCTGGTTGTACTGCTACTTCCCTTATGGGAGGTGGTAGTTCTTATAGTTTTCATTGTATATTTGTGCATACCCAGGAATTCTGGTTACATTAAGTACATGAATATATGTCTAAAGTTTGAAACAATGATCCTGTTTATCCAGGTTACTGTGCTTACTGTGTATGTATTCTTGTATGGACGTTTATATTTGGTATTGAGTGGGATGGAAAAGCGAATCTTGGAGGATGCTGCCATTCGTCAAAGCAAAGCCCTTGAAGAGGCTTTGGCAACTCAGTCTGTCTTTCAGCTGGGATTGCTTCTGGTGCTGCCAATGGTTATGGAAATTGGTCTGGAAAGAGGGTTTCGCACTGCCCTCGGTGATTTTGTTATTATGCAGCTGCAGCTGGCCTCTGTATTCTTTACATTCCAGCTTGGAACAAAAGCGCACTATTATGGTAGAACAATATTGCATGGGGGTTCCAAATACCGAGCTACTGGCCGTGGATTTGTTGTTTTCCATGCAAAGTATGCTGATAACTACAGGATGTACTCACGAAGTCATTTTGTGAAAGGGTTAGAGATGGCTATCTTGTTGATTATTTATGAAGTCTATGGGAAATCATATCGTAGTTCAAGTTTGTATTTGTTCATCACTTTCTCCATGTGGTTCTTGGTTGCTTCCTGGTTGTTTGCTCCTTTTGTGTTCAACCCGTCTGGATTCGACTGGCAGAAAACAGTGGATGACTGGACAGATTGGAGGAAGTGGATGGGAAATCGTGGTGGTATTGGTATCGCACCGGATAAAAGTTGGGAATCATGGTGGGATGGAGAACAGGCACACTTGAAAAACACAAATATAAGGGGAAGAGTGCTTGAGATAATCCTTGCATGTCGCTTCTTCATTTACCAATACGGAATTGTCTATCACCTTGATATAGCTCATGAGAGTAAAGATTTTCTGGTACAATTTTATTTTCTCTAGAAAGCAAGATTTATTCTCTTGTAGTATTTTTATGTGTCAGTTCCCATCTTACAGTCCACTGAATGTCGTTTCTTGCAGGTTTATGGACTTTCTTGGGTTGTCATGGTAATTGTTCTAGTAGTCTTAAAGGTATGCTTGTTGAATACTTTAATCGAATGTGTTTCTAAGTAGATTTTTTGTTGCTCACACGCTTTCAATTTTTTTTTTTTTTTCTTTTTCTTTTCTATTAGGCTAGCATTTTCTATGGAGCTTGTACACCTTCAGTACAAGAAGCAAAATTTTGTTTTGTTTTTTATTGAAACAGTTGAAAGGTTTTGTTGGCATGAATCTAGAATTTCTTAAAGGTATGCTTGTTGAATACTTTAATCAAATGTGTTTCTAAGTAGATTTTTTGTTGCTCACACGCTTTCAATTTTTTTTTTTTTTTCTTTTTCTTTTCTATTAGGCTAGCATTTTCTATGGAGCTTGTACACCTTCAGTACAAGAGGCAAAATTTTGTTTTGTTTTTTATTGAAACAGTTGAAAGGTTCTGTTGGCATGAATCTAGAATTTCTCATAAATGATATTTCTTTAAAAAAAAAATTAAAATTCATATTATTATTATTGCCGTTATTATCATTATCTTAATAAGTCTGTGGACCCTTTTATTGCATTGGATAACTTTGATTTTTTTTTTACCTTAATTGACTTTGGATGACATTATTTTTTTGTTGCAATCATACATTCTTTTGTGTATAAATCTCAAATACAATCAATGAATCAATTATTCACTTTTTATTAGTACGGATAGATTTAATTTATGTTTTAAAACATTTCCATGTATTTCCAAACTCTTTTCGCTGCTTGCTTCCCTTGTGTTTCAAAATCTTTCCATTTCTGTGCTAATGAAACAATACACCAACAGGAACATATGAGCCTTTTGTCAATATACCTTGCTTCAATATTACCTTGATCAACATCGTTTGGTCTGATATTGCTTGTGTGGGTAATGTGTTGCTTTCAGTTGGTATCGATGGGCAGAAGAAGGTTTGGTACCGATTTTCAGCTCATGTTCAGGATTCTCAAAGCACTTCTATTTCTTGGCTTCATATCAGTCATGACAGTTTTATTTGTAGTATGTGGCCTCACTGTAACGGACTTGTTTGCTGCCCTCCTTGCTTTCATGCCCACAGGGTGGGCCCTTCTTCTAGTAAGTTCAAATTTCTCTGCATTTTCTAAAAGTTCCATTCTAATTAGCATACATGAGCCAATTTTATTATGTGTAATTCACGACCCAATTTTATTTTGTGTAATTCAAGAACTGACAACATACAAACGCACACATCATATGATGCCATTATTTTTATGGGGTTTGACAATAACAAGAGATACACAAATGGAGGAACCGAAGTTTTTAGTGGAGATATTTGTGCTTCATATTTCATTTATTTTGACTTAGGACTGACTTAGAGAAAGATCCAATTAAAACTATCTTCTTTGGTGCAATTAGTTGAAATTCATTCCCTCTTGGAGTTTATAATCACAACTCTTTTTGGAATGTTTCCTTCATGTTTCTTTACTGATTCCTCATGATATATAAAATATTTTCTCAAGCTTTGAATAATCTTTGACAATTGATAATTCTCCCAATCTATCAAAGCCCACTAGCAAAGTTGAAATATTCTTTTGTTGTTTTGTTTTTAGTTCTCTTATGCTGTGTTTGGTTGAGGGATTTGGAAAGGGAAAGGGAAAGGGAAAAGGAAAAGGGGAGGGATTTGGAAAGAGAAAGGGAAAGGAAAAAGGTGTGTGAAACTAGGTGAAATATAGATATGTTTTGTTCACATTTCACCTACCTTTTCCATTTCTCTTTCCAAATCCTTCCTCTAATCCCCCCAACCAAACACAACATTGATGTATTTATATGATAACATGACTTTATTTTTCTTTTTGCTTTTTCCGTGTTGTCCTTGGGAAGCTTGGTCAAGCATGTAGGCCATGTTTGAAAGGGATGGGATTCGGAGTATGGGATTCAGTAATGGAGCTGGGAAGAGCATTCGATTACATAATGGGATTGGTAATATTCATGCCGGTAGTCATACTATCATGGTTCCCATTTGTATCTGAATTCCAAACACGCCTGCTCTTCAATCAAGCTTTCAGTAGAGGTCTCCAGATTTCAATGATTCTTGCAGGAAAGAAAGACAAGACCAGCGCTCCCAGTTGAAACTTCTAACATTTCACCACCTTTTTTCTTCTTTTTTTCTTCAAAGAAAGGAAAATTCTTTATCATATTGTTTTTGTAACCATAATTAGCATCAGATTCGTTATTACTTAAAGGATCCATCAGATATGGTTATCTATCTATTCTATTATATAAAGGGAAAGCCCATGGCGGTGTTGACACTTTCTGTCTCATATTTTTTAATATTTACACACAAGTCTTACTTTATGAACTTATATTCCATTAAATCTTAATTAAGATTTTTTAGACTTTCAAATCCTATTAAATTTTTAATAGTCTGAATTGCCTTTTAAACAATGATATACATCATTATGATTTATCTATAGAGAAATATAATGATTAGATATTTATTTTGATTTTCAAAACTTAAAAAATCAACTTTCAAATTGAAAAAACTATAAAAAAAAAAAAAAAAAAAAAAAAAAAAAAAAGTTGTGGAAAAAAAAAGAACTAGGTTTTTTTTTTGAAAAATTGAAAAAAAACTGAATTATTTTTTTGTGTAAAATTAAGAATTGTGTGTCTATAAAGGAGCAAGATGATGGAACATTGATGTGTAAAATTACAAAACAAAAAATAAAAATAAAAATAGAAAAGATTGATAATGGTTTCAGTTTTAAAATTGGAAAAAACTGTTAGTGTTTTCTGTTTTATTGGATAATTGAATCAATAAGGAGAAAGACAAAAATATTGAATCTCATGTTTTGTTTTTTTTTTTTTCATCAGTTAGTGAAATAATTATCTGAAATATTACTAAGTAGGGGTGGGCGCGGGTCGGTTGCGGCTACAGAACCTCCAATCCGTCATCCGTCCGCTAGATTGGCGGATTTGAGAAAATCAATCCGCATCCGTCCGTCAATCTGGTGGGTGCGGATTGAGCGGATTGGCGGTTTGGTGGATGGATGCGAATCGGTTTGGTGGTTTGAAATTTTATAAATTTTCAACACAGTTCAACTTGTGTACTTCCTAAAAAAAAAAAAAATATTAATATTACAGTTAACAACTTAAAAAAGTATTACAATTACTGCATACCTCATCCAAAGAAAGAAAGTTTGAAACTTTAAATTATCACAATTACTACATGCCTCATCCACATATTATAATCACAACATGCATCATTCACATAAAATATTACAATCTATGGTTCTTAAAATATAAAAACAATTCAAACCACCAAAACCATGAACAGAGCAATAAAGATTGTATGTCTCTATATTGTTACATTTATATATGTTTTTGAAAACAAAAATCAACCAACATATATCATATTTTCTATTTATTACTTTTAGAATTAGATTTAAAAACCAAAAAATATAGATAAATAATACGTTTATTTTTTTTAATTCAAAAAATATATTCAAGTTGAAAACTTTTTTTCAACAAAATATTTGAACTCTTTTTCAATTGAAAACACAAACAAAATATTTAAACAAATTGAAAACACATAGTCTTATAAATTACTAAGGGTGCTTGCGGTTTGGCGGTTCGGTTGCGGCCAAAGGAACTTTAAATCCGTCATCCGTCCGCCAAATTGACGGATTGAAGAAAATCAATCCGCAACCGTCCGCTCGTCATCATGCATCCGTCAAAAATGCTGCGGATCGGTTCGGTTCGGTCGGTTTTGACGGATTGGTATATCCGCTGCTCACCCCTATTACTAAGCAAAATTGATAATGTTCTTAGTTTTAAAAATTAGAAAAAATTGATAATATTCTCAGTTTTATTAAATTTGATTTATTGGTTCAAAAAAATTTAGATAAAATCTAAGTTATTATAACATTTGTAAATAGCACTTTTAAGTTATTAATTCTATTTTTTATTTTTTCAAAATACCCCCACATTTGGAGTTTTTATAAACATTATACAGAGAGGAGGGCAAGAGTCAAACCAATGACCATGGGTAGTTTAATAATGAAGACTCTTATTACATATTTCTTTGTCATTATTTTTATAATGTTATTTTTTTAGAATAAAATTATATGTACCAATTGATATATTAATTAGTGTACTAACGAATAATATGACATAATTTTAGAGGTTTTGCTTTGGGTCTTGTGGTTTGTATAATCAGTGGAATCTATTATTTTAAAGTAATAATATCATAACATATGTTAGTATACTAATTGATGAATGTGGTACTATTATTTTTTTCAAGTTGCATACGCAATGCTAATCTTTTATATATGTGAGGTGATGATGGAGAATTAAGACCTCGTTTGGATACATGGTATTTTAGTAACTTTTTGGTTAAAATATGAGATAAAAAAAAGAAAATTTAGCTATAAATCCCTTTTACCTTCCTTTCATTGTTAAAAGGGCTAAGAAAAAATTATACTTTCTAAACCCCCTCATAATTATAAAGTCTTGTATAAATGACAAAATTTATTATTTAAATATTTTATATGACTATTATACCCTCAACTAATTCTTCCCACTCTCTTCCTTTCTAAATCCACAGACAGCTTCTGCATATATAATCAAGGAGTGTCAGATTTTTGATCAATTTGCAATCAATTTTTTTTTTTTGGTAAAGGTTAAGAGATTCGGATTAGAGAGATGATTAGAACCGGTGCTGTTTCGCGGCGGAAGAGATCGTCGGAGATGATCGGAGAAAGCTTCGACAACAACGACGTATCGCCTTCCAATTCTCATGAAGTTCATGTTCTTGCCGTTGATGATAGCCTCGTCGATCGAAAAGTCATTGAATGATTGCTCAAAATCACCTCTTGCAAAGTTACAAATCAATTCTCTCTCTCTCTCTCTCTCTATATATATATATATATATATATCTCTTTCATCCCTCTCTCCCTTCTAAGAGGCAACAAAAGCATGTTTGGTGGAGTTATTTGGTTATACATGTTTTTTTTTAAACACAGATTTGAGTTTTGAATATATATATATATATATATATATATTTGTGTGTATGAGTGTTGTTGAACACATGTATTCTTTGAAATCAAAAGATAGAGAGATATTTGGATGTGTTCTCTGAAATGGCCACCTCAGTCAGATTATGATTATGTTGATATTTGGATGTTTTTGTTTAGTTTTTGATTTGTGTGTTTTGTGGTTATATATCCTTGTAATATAAATTTGTGTTTTTACTGGTTTTTGAATTGATCTGTTCATACTCAGCATGTTCAATAGATGATCTATTCAATTTCTCTCTCTTTCTCTCTCTCTAATAAGAATCTCTCTAATAAGAATTTCACACAGAAATTTTACTCTGGTTAAAAACATGTTGATTTGCTTAAAAATATAAAATTTTACTTTGAATCATAGTAAATTTTACTCTGATTCAGAGGAAAATTTTACTTTGAATCAGAGTAAAGTTTACTATGATTCAAAGTAAAACTTTACTCTGAAATTCTACTTTCGTTAAAAACATGTTGATTTGCTTAACAACATAAAATTTTACTTTGAATCATAGTAAACATTACTCTAATTCAGAGTAAAATTTTACTTTGAAATATACTGTGAAGATAGCTTAATAAGAGAGCTGATAGATATGAGCGTAATATAGTAAAAGAAACAAGTTTTAAAATATTAAGGAGTTTTGAAAATACTTATATAATTTTTATCTTTTTGAAAGACAAATTAGATAGTGAGGGGTTTATCACCAAATCTTCCATAAAAAAAATAACTAGTATGTTTAGAATGACTCTTTGTTTTTTTCTGAAAAGATGTGCAAAAAGTAGAGAGAAAATAAAATCTTTAACTTTTTAGTATATGTTATAGACTTTTTGATTTTTTTTAATAACTTTTTGACTTTTAAATTAAAACACTTGTATGCCAAACGAGACCTAAGTTTGTAATAAGTTTGTCCCCTTGCCTTTCTCATTTGTCTTTTTAGACATGCACAATAGACATAAACATGAACATCAAATTTGTCATTTGTCATTTGTCATTTCGGCCTTGTTTGGCATATATTAAAAAAAGCTACAAAGTTAAAAAGTCATTATTCTATTTAAGTCACATCATCTTATTTAAGTCACATCATCTCTCTGTCACATCACCTCTCTATCTCATCACTTCAAACTCAATCCATACCCAACCCATATTTTATAAAAAGTCAAAAAATGCACTTATTTAGAACATCCCAAACGGATTTGGTCAAAACCCTCTCATAACAAAATTGAACAATGTTTGGTGGTCTGAATTTGTGTAGCTCAAATGGCTCGAATATATCAAAATGACGTCGTTTTGTCCCCAAAATGACGTCGTTTTGACACATTTGAGTCATTCGAGTTATGAATCTTTGGACTACCAAGCATTATTGAATAAAATTTTAAAACATTAAGGATAAGTACAAAAAAAAAATTCTTCAAAAGTCCAACAAGGATCACTATTATCAAAATATTAAGTTTTAAAATAATATAACTTTTAATGTAGATGCCGGTTTTTAATAAAATTAATATTTTTAGAATTCTCTCATTAAGATCTATCAAATAAAATCCTTATTGACTATGAATTTTTTTTTAAAATTATTACAGTTGAAATTAATGTAAACAGTAATAGTAATATGTTACTCTGTTTAACAGTAACATATTACTCTGGCAATATTGTCCAAGACGGGAAAAAAAAGAAAAAGATATTTTATTTTGTCCTTATTCAATTATGTGTTTTTTACTAAGGAGATTTATGAAAAAAAATAATATGAGCTATCTTTTTTACCAAACAATGGTCCAATGAAAAGATTTTGACTAAATTTCTCTAAAAAAGAGCCCTATAGTTAATTTCATGTTTTCAGCTTATGTAGCATTACCTATTATGTTGTCATAACCTCAATCCGGATAGTAGGATTTTTTTACAATTCGACAATTTTAATTTGACCAAATGATTTGGATCGTTTTAAGATTTAAAATTTTGTAAAATCTTAAGTCACTCTAATCATAGTCTCAAAATTGTGTATAGCAACACTATGATCTCAATTCTGCTAAATTATTTTTTTTCTTCTTATTTATTTATTTATTTTTCATTATGTATGCATCAAATTTTTTATTAGAATTCCTCTTGTGAAAAATTTTATTTGAGAAGAGAATATGAAAGAATCTCTTCATTAATATATCATATATTTCTTCAAATTATTTGAATTAAAATGTTGGAGAAAGATTTGGAAAAAAAAAATTCATTCTAAAATTAAAGTTAATGAATTCAATTTTTTTTTTAATAAAGTAATTTGGAAGGGGAAATGGAAAACTTGATTTCCTTTCAAAAACAATATTAGTTAACATTTATTCAATTATCATTAATAAACATTATTTGTAAATACTATAACAAATTATGCTAGCATAGAAGACATATTATATTAAATTTATCATCCCTCTTTAATGATTTTAAAATTATGTAACGTACATTATCATTATTAATAATTTTTTTGTGTTATTATTTATATTGAAAAGTAAAATTTTACGATTTTACAATCTGATTTACAAAACTCTCTCAATTGTGCACATTGTAACATGTGGGTGGGTGTTGGTGTCAACACATTCAATGAAAACAAAATTTTAATATTTCTCATGGCATATGACAACCATTTTGTGAAAACACTATCTAGTTAAACCATAAAGATTTTCAATAATTTCTCTATAATAATAATAATAATAATTTTAATGAATATATTTTGTCATGGAAAGAGCTGCACATAACCAGTCAGTATAGCAATTCCTAAAATAATAAGAGGAGGGAGAATTACAAATGCTCCAATAGTGGTAAAGAAAACTGTATCATTCCTCAGAGAGACTTCATCCAAGTAAGCCTGTCTTCTTATGTTTCTCTTCTGTGAGATTGTTAGCAACTTTGGACTGAAATTTTTCAGTTTTTTACCCAATGGAATGCTGAAATCATCATCTTGGTCCCCAACCAACCGAGCTAGCTGATCGCGAATCGTAAGATTCCTCGAGCTACCATCACTTGCATAACCTGGCCATTAAAGAAAAAAAAAAAAAAAAAAACTGATTAATATGTTAAAATGGTCTTAGTTCTTTTCTTTTAATGTTGAGAAATTTCACATACCATCATCGACCGATGAGCTAATGGAAGTGAGTTGTTCTAAGAGATCCAGCTGCGTGCGAGTGGAAGACGACGACCCTTTTTGAAAATATAGGAAAAAATCAAGTTAGGAATCAAAATTGAAATTTATCTCTATTTTTACATTAGAAGGTTTTTTGTGCACTCATCAAAAAGAATCATTGTTGCAGATTTACAAGGTTCCCTTTCAGTAGTTTTGCTATGCTTTGAAGTTGTAGGTATCAAATTAATCTTGGAGAAAAGGTGTTAAATTAATTTGAGTGATATGATTGCCATTTGCAAGCCTATGTTACTTTCAAGATTAGCAATGAAATAAAAATTACTTCATACAACTTTTTATATTTAAAAAATAATAATTTCTTGAAGCCAATTTGAACATAAAATGATTGACTTTCTTGAATAGATATTATATAATCATGTATAGGCTTGTATATACCAATCAATCAATCAAACACAAACCAAAAAATATGGTTGGCATACTATACATACCAGAGTAGGCAGGAGGGTCCTCCTCTGTAACTCTTCCTCCACCTTCTTTTCCATCATATGCTGCAACTGTTCTAAGAGGAGATGGAGACGGAGACGGAGACGGAGATGGAGATTGGTAGAGCTTCAATTTGTGTTTTTGTATCAGAAATGGAGTAACAGCAGTGAAATTCAAGGCCATGGATTCAAAATTTCCTTTTTTTCCAAGCTATGATTCTAGTTGAGAGGTCCTATGTCTTGATTCCATATTATCTTTTTGAGGCTATAATAATTCACACAAACAAACAAAATATTATACTGAAAAAATTGTACATAATAATGCGATCAATTTATGTCTATTTATTTCAAATTAAAATAGTACTAATCAAAGTGATTTGTTATTTTAAAAATATTACTATTATATCATTCTGAATAAAATATTACGGATTCTACTAACAAATATCCCAAAAGTATAAGAACAGGACAAAAAAATTCAAAACTCAAGATATTTTTTTTATTATTTTTATAATACTTTTCACTTTATTTTAAAACATATCTTAAAATTTTCATCATTTTAAAAATATTTTTTACACAATATTCACAAAACACTTATTAATATTTGCTAAAAATTAATGTTACATTGTTCCTATAAAAAAAAATATATAATTCTTTTGCAAATCATTTTGTATAATTCATTGATTTAAAATAATGTTTGTTTCTATGTATAAAGCTACCTCAAATTTAAGTGGTGGAAAACAGCTCCTGCCTCCACTCCACATATATTCAAGTGGGCGAGAGTTATCATTAGATAGATCAAAGACCCTGTAGACTGACCACGTGTCATTCACTTGATTGGTCAAAGACCAAAATAATATTGTAGAAAATAGGATTCTATTTGAAAAACAAAAAAAAACAAAACAAAACAAAACAAAAACAAAAAACACGCTTGACTTTGCGTTTCATACGGGAAATTAAGGATCGATTTCAACAAATCATAAAATCTCAACGTGAAATGAGTGGTTGCAATTTGACATTTTAAAAGATAAACTGAAAAATATTCAGAATTCATATTATTCTCTTATTTATTGAAAATATCTCTCACATCCCCAACCAATTAACATCGTTAATGAAATGGTAAAAGTACTAGAAACCCTTTATTTGATTTGTTGATTTTGATCACAACCCATTCAATATATGAAATTGTATAAAATGTGAGATTTTTACAAACTTAAAATAGTAGATAAAGGGTTGGTTTGGGAAGTGGGTTGACTTTTTGATTTTTTTAGCCTGGACTAAAAAGCTTAGTTTGGGAAAGACTTTTTGACTTTTTTGGTTTTTTTTTTGTGAGAGAAGAGTGTAATAATTATGAGTTGGATACAATGTTTTGTCTTTTGTGGTTAAAATAACTTATTTTGTCTTTTGTGACTATTTTAGCCACAAATCATCTTCCCAAACGGACCCAAAAAGAGAAATATACAAAGAAATGAGCGAAGAAATGACATTGGGTATTACCATAATCAAGGTCTTTAAGGCCAAAAAGAAGTGCGTAATCACTTCTTTCTCCTTCACTCTTGTATCTATGAAAAATTCATAACATTTTTTATTGTTATTTATCATGGTTCAAGAAGGTGATTTTAAAAACTACAAACGCAATGAAAAAGGCCATGAGTGTCACGAAGGAGACATAAGCTCTTTATTTATTTCACATAATTCTGTTGTCGAAAGGGTTCAATTTTAGTAAACTTTTGGTGGTATGAGTCTTTGAGTAGTATACGTATAGTGGTATTATGTGTGTACATGAGTTATGTATCTCATCTATATACTTCTACTATATCTTTTTTAGATTGGTATGATTTTGTTAAGAAAGGAAATAAGGAAATAAAATATTATAATGGCTGGAATAATGAGGTGGAAGTACTAGTAACTGGTGGCTTGATTGTCTTCTCTTATGGCTTTCAAGTTAAATAATTGACTTTGTCTATTTTATTTATACAAAAAAAATTAAGTTTATTTAATAATTTTAATCTATTTAATCTATAATATTTGTTATAAAGAAAAATAAATGATAATTGTGTTTTTATAAATAAATTATTTATTTTTGTTGTGACAGACGTAATAAGTTGAATAGTCTAACGATTATCGGATCGATCTAATTTTTTGTATAAATAAAATATATGAAGTGACTAACAAAATTAACAATTCGAATTATTAAAGCAAAACTCATGATGAATTTCACAGCCCAAACATCATTTGCCGGTCCAAATTATAGCCTGAAGGTAATGAGTCTAGATCCTCTCCTTGATCTTCTTTACTTAGCTCCTTATTTGGTGGGCCATTGGGCCTACTGTTGGGCCTAATTTCGATAATTCAAACCGCTCTCATTTTAGAATTTGTCGTGTATATTATGCTTGTAAAAAATCAAATTGATTGAATATCAAAAACCACGTGTTCGGATCATCGAATTAAAAATTATTTATTAAAAAAAATTAATAAATAGTTTTATTTTTTTAATAAAATGATTTTTAGTTCGATGATCCGAACACATAGTTTTCGATATTCGATTGACCTGATTTGTTACAAATATAATATACTCGGCAAATCTTAAAATGTGAACAGTTCAGATTATCGAAATTTAGCCCAAAAATGAGCCCAATTACCTACCAAATAAGGAGCCAAGTAGAGAAGATTTAAGGAGAGGATAATATGCTTCCTTCTTCTTCTTCTTATTATTATTAAATTAGCAAAAGAATTAACCGTTTCAGCTCAGCAATGTTTAAAATTGAAGGTCAATATTGTAAAAATAGATCAAACGGACAACCTGAAAGAAATATGACCGTTAGAGAGAGGCCCTTTACAAAATTCAGGCGTTATTCAAAACTTTATGTTATTCGAATCCAATCAAAGTTGAATTCCTCGTCTCATCCATAGTAGTAATGCATCGAATCCAATACCCATCTGAGGAAGTGGAAAAAAGCTTCTTCTGATACAGACCACTAATCTCCTTCTCTCTCTCTCTCCTCAAAATTCTCTCTTTCTCTCTCTCTTGTTCTCCAGAAAGCATCATCAGGTAAGAAGCAGCAGTTGGATTGATGGGGAAGCGGAGTGCAGAGGAGATGAGAACAGGGGAGGTGGTGATCGTGGAAGCAGAGAGAGAAAAAGCTCATCACCCCTATGCTTTCCATGTCTCCGGACCTCGCAATGTTGCTTCCCCTAACTGGAGAGACCTCATCAACTCTAGCTGGTCAGTTCTCTCTCTCTCTCTCTGTATTCATCTCTCTCTATATGTGTGTGTGTGAATTGGGTTTGTTCAATTTTTTGCTCTTTACTGAACAATTCATGGTTAATTTGTTTGCTTGAGGACTCATTGGCTGAGAGTTGTTTGAATTAATGAAAGAAAACGTGTTCTGATTCAAGAGCATTTTCTGGGTCTTTGATCTTTTGCTGCTATGATTCAAGAAATTTTACAAAGTTCAGTATTTGTGGAGGGTTTGCAAATGTTTTTGGTTATTGGAAATATTGTTTAAATGAATGCACAATTTCTAGACCCAAAAAATAAATAATTAATCACAATATTTCTAACTTGTTCTAGAAACTGATAGTGATAATTAGATATTTATTTTTTTTGATTTGCCAATTTTTTGTTAATGTGTTGAACACTGTGTTACTTGTTTAGGAGGCTATTAGGTAGGTAATTGAGGGCTTTAAGACACAGTAACAAATTTTCGAATGCTCTGTGGAAAATTTTGGAATCTTAAAAGACAACAAAATTTACTTACCCAAAAGAAAATAACTGGGAAAAGTTTTTAAAGTATATAGAGATCAAGTCCGGATCCTCTCCTTGTGCTCCTATGTGCAACGGCTGAGATCCACGTAACCAAATCCAACGGTCCAGATCTGGCATAAAAAAAAAAAAAAATTTAAAACATATTATTGAAATCAGTAAATTTTCCGCCCAAAGCTATACATACACAAGTTATACACATTTCACCTCACTCGCACTCACCCCTTCTCCTCCATCGAACCCAGCCTCACTGGCGACCCACTCCTGAAAACCAACCGATCGAGGTGGATTACATTGTTCCAAAAAAAAACATCATTTCATTAGTAAAAGTTATTGTGCTTTTTTGCTTGGTTTCAAAAGAAAAATTTATCAGTGAGAATTTCTTGAAAAGTAACTTACAGGAAGCACAAACACACAAAAATAAACACTTCTGCTTTTTGCTGTTCTGGGAAGGTAATATATAGTTATTTTGTCGACTTTGATGCCAAAAATTCAAATCCCCTCCGTGTATTTTTATTTAATTTTCTATTGTTTTAACTTCAAAAATATAAACTAAGGTGGAGGAGAAGAGCGTGAGGGCTCTGGTTTGCGAAGCAGACAGAATCAATCCACCTCGATTGGGAGTGGTCGCCGTCGAAAGTGGGTCACTGTCGGGAGTGGGTTGCCGATGCGGCTGGGTTGGGCAGAGAAGGGGTGAGTATGAGTGAGGTGAAATGTATATAACCTGTGTATGTATTGCTTTGGACGGGAAATTTACTGATTTCAATTTGTTTTAATTTTTTTATATATTTTTAAAGACTGTTGAATTTGGTTAGTTGGATCTCAACCGTTGCACGTAGGAGCTCAAGGAGAGGATCCGGAAAGCAATGGCTCAATTACATAGATTTCACTTCAATTTTAAATGTTATTGGATTAAAAGCTATAATCTCATAGGTGGTGTTTGTTTAGAAGGATTGGCCCATGGAATAGGATTAATAGTTTATCCGGACTATTAATCCCAAATCTATTGGACTATTGTATCTCACGAGGGTGGGACACGAATTATGAATAACTCATCCTATGAGATTAGGTATTGAAATTACATTTTTGACCTCTACTATTTAATATCTTTTTAAAAATAAAATTTGTTTATTAAATTATTTATTTTAATAATATGGTATTAATTGTACTTGGTAAAGTAAATAAAATTTAAAAATCTCAACTACAAATTAAAATAAACTTATGTAATTTTTATTAATATTCTATTTATTTAATTTTTTAAAAGTTCTAGTAAAAAAATAAAATAAAATTTGTAATTTAGATTTAATATTCTTATTATTTAGTAAATAATTCAAAAGGGCAAAATAGTCTTTTGAGCATTTATCCTTCTCCACAATATCCCAAACAAACATAAAATTCAATAGAATAGTCCAATCTAGGTATCTAATCCTATGACTAAACAAACATAAGATACAAATCCAGTCTAACCAAATAGTCCGGAGGCAATATATCTTAGGACTAACAGTCCGGTAGATTACAATCTCCCTATCGAGTCTGTACAAACAAACACACTACTAGTTTTAATGTCTTGGTGAGTTGGATTTAGGAGAGCCTAGTGACCTTGACTTTGTAATTTAATATACATGGCTACTTATTTTGTGAAGAGCTCTGTTTCTGACTAACTAGTTATTGATGTTCCAAATGCTTATCAAATTGATCTTTTGGACCATAACAAAACTTCGATGCTGTGTCCAAATTGGTTTTTAGTAGCCAAGGTGACCACAAAGCTAGGGATGTGCTTTCGAGCTTTTTCCTTGCAAGAAGGAAGAAAAAAAGAGGAGAAAAAATTTAATTCTCTTTTGTGATCATCCATTTGGTGACTTTTGGATCTTTTTTGGTCAACGTAGCTGCTAAAATTTAATTCTTTATTTGCTCAATTTTTCAATCAAGAATATATGTAATAATATATGCTCAGCTTATTCATCTGTTTGGTTGCCAAGAACAGTAAATGGATCATATTAGTTTTACTTGAATGCTTGTGGTGTTTCATTCAATGATATTGCTTTCTTTAAACTACATTTACAGGAAAGACGGAAATTACAAAAGAACAGTAATTGCGTGCTTCATACAAGCGGTTTACTTGCTTGAACTCGACAGACAAGAGAACAGGACAGAGGAAAGCGCTCTTGCTCCAAAATGGTGGATACCCTTTAAATACAAGCTCGCCCAAACTCTAATTGATGAAAGAGATGGGTCAATATTCGGTGCAGTACTTGAATGGGATCGATCTGCAGCCATGGCTGACTTCATAATCATTAGGCCAAGTGGTGCACCAAGAGCGGTACTAGTGCTCAGAGGAACACTACTCAAAAGCCCAACGATTAGAAGGGATATAGAGGATGATCTCCGCTTTCTAGCCTGGGAAAGCTTAAAGGGTTCAGTCAGATTCAACGCAACGTTGGAGGCATTGAAATCAATTGCTGATAGATATGGAAGCAGCAATGTAAGCGTTGCAGGCCATTCATTAGGGGCTGGTTTTGCTCTCCAAGTGGGAAAAGCATTAGCCAAACAAGGGATATTTGTGGAGGCTCATCTGTTTAATCCACCCTCGGTTTCACTAGCAACGAGTCTGAAAAATATAGGAGAACAGGTAGGGTTTGTTTGGAAGAGGTTTAAGTCGATGCTCCCTTCAAATAGTGAAACTCAAGCCAGTGGAAATGAAGTGGATGAGACTAATAATATTGTTGGATTGAATAAATGGGTACCTCATTTGTATGTGAACAATAGTGACTACATTTGTTGCTATTATACCAATCCAGCAGGATCGGAAGCAGAAGCAGGAGCGGGAGCAAGAGAGAACAACGGGGCTAACAAGGAGAATGTGGGACCCACAAATGGGCATGCGGCGGCTAAGCTTTTTGTGTTGTCAAAGGGGAAGCAAAAGTTTCTTGAGGCACATGGATTGGAACAATGGTGGTCTGATGATTTGGAGCTCCAAATGGCTCTACAGAGCAGCAAACTTATAAGTAGGCAGCTGAAGTCCTTATACAGCCTCCCACCACCACCTCCAAAACACTAATAGGTTATGTTGCTGGCTCGGCTTCTCATTCTTTTCTACTTAATTGTCCAAAAACAAAAACAAAAACAAAAAAAACAAAAAAAAAAAAGGGGAAATTTTGTTTTTCCCAAAAACTCAGTGTCAATCTGTTTTCTTCAGTCCCACCAAAAGGTTTGTTCGTATGAATTGCTTGATCTAATATGTACTTACTTTCTTTTCTTGTACTGAGCTATGCTATATGTATATTTGAAAGTGCCAAGAGTATATTTGAAAGTGCCAAGAGTTTGCCATGTCACTTGATTACATAGAATTTCTGAGTTTGCTGCCAGTGGATCTGAAGAGATCAAAGTATCATTCCTAGCTAAGATTAATCTCCACATTTTATTAATTAGAGACTAGCTAGCTTCCTCGAGTATACTAATTGAATGGATGCGCAATGCTAGGGACCACAAAAGTTTTACCAAACGCTCATATAGTAACTACATAATTAGATTACATTTGTTTTTATAAAAATGAATGCTCTATGTATCATTTATTTTTTTAAAATAAATATAATCTAATTGCATGACTTTCGATATACAAATACTAAAAGATAAACGTTTTGAATCACTAAAAATGATACCGAAGTAATTCAATTATTCAAATTTTTTGAAGTGGTTTTGTATTTTCTAAATTTACAACTCTGTTTTCACTCAAATTTGTCCACCAAATATCAAAAAGTTTTTACTCAAATTTAAGTTACATAAAAAATTAAAAATATCCGACTCTGCTGGGGATCGAACCCAGAATCTCTGGTTCCGTAGACCAGCGCCTTATCCATTGGGCCACAGAGTCCTATTGCTCTTAGTTCAATTCTTTAATATATAAATAATATAACTTCAATTGTTCTGCTCTTCCCTCAGAATGGTAATTTCATCGCCCCCGCTCTGCCCCACGCGATTTTTCCTTATGAACACGGGGTGGGGAGGACTACAAATTGGCCCTAAATCTGTTTGACCTTAATTAAGAAAATTAAAAAAATATTAATATAAGTTTGACTTAAAATTATGAAATACACATGTTCTGATGGAAATCCTTACTTAAAGTATGTTTTGACCTTAATTAAGAATATAGTTTCGTTGCGCTTGACATTAATATTGTTACAAATTTGAATTTGTCAATTATAGTAACCGGTGGCTGCACCACCGTAACAGAGAATACGGATACTTTTCCCTCCTTATTCATATACAATTTCTCATTACTTATGACGTCACAGAGATTGCATATGCAATCCTTCAGTCCATTAATTTTCATTGATAATTATTTGATTCTTTACCATTAAAAAAAACAATGATAAAAATATATATATACATTATAATTTTTTTATTTTATTTTAAAGTCAACCCAACAAACAAGAAGAACAATTTGATCATATCTGGTATGAAAATGATTTGAACTCTTAGCCCTTGTCAAAACTCAAAACTCAAAATCCAACATCAAGTGCATATAGATATATTATTGATGAAAGCAAGCATAACCTAATTAATGATCAATCTATAAGACTTTATAACTTACAATTATTAAGCAAATGTAACAATTATGTCTCACACCTCTCTTTGTACAATAATATATACATGGGATTTGGACAAGTCCACACTACCAATTCTCTATCAATATATATATCTAGTCTCCTAAACCTTGGTATAACATACAAATACATATATATGAGAAAACCTGAAAGCTAACCATGCATACATATCATATAAGTCCTGACAAGTCATAGTTGTATTCGTAGTCGTACACACAGACCTCCTGATTAACCGATGGCAGATCAGCAGCGTAACCATGATCATAATAGTTGTAATTAGGAAACTGATCGATCTCCAAAAGCCAAGACTCAACATCCCTAAACTGAGGAAAATCCACGAGAGGCGCTGGCATGCTTGCCTCCTGTGAACTCTCAAATGGCATGTTTAGTTGTGGCGAATCATCAACCGATGACAAATCCAAACTAGTACTACTACTTCCTTGAAAAATCTGATGATGATCTTGATCATGATGAAGTTGATGATGAAGGGGGAGGAGCGGGGGCTGGATCGATGATGATGATGATGATGTAGGGAGTGGGATAGGGTCATTGCCATTGCCATTGCCATTGCCAGTGAGGTGTTGAACAAGGTTTTTGAAGCTAGAAGAATCTGTGATATAAACTTTGGGCCGCAAAACCTTTAACAGGCTGCTTAGCTGTTTCTTGTCATCCTTGGAGGAGGATATTTTCTTTGATGATGATACTAGTAATGATTTCTTCCCCATGTTTATCAAACTTCAAACACTGTTCTTGCCTTGGAATTGACCCCAAAGTTTGATCTTGTTTAATTCTCAACGGAGGATACTAAGCCTATTAATATGAATGAATTTAATGAAGGGTTTGGTTTAGATGAGTTGATATGGGTGCATGGAGAGAGCCCATAGGTGTGGAATGAAAACACAAGACGACACATACCCTTAAGATGCTGATAATGATGTTTTTTTTTTTTTTTTGGTAAATTAGGCTAATCTCCCTTGAGATTTGAATAAATTTTATAATTTTAATATAATTACATTGAACTCTCTTAAAATTTTAATTCATATAACACTTAGCTCCATTTTCATCAATAATTTATTAGTTATATAGATGAAAAAATAATATTAATTATTATTCTTTTATACAAAAATTTATACTTTACATTGTTTATTTTTGTATTTTCATACAATCTATATTAATTTTGATCTATTTAATTTTACTAAAATAAAAATTAATATAATTATATTAAAATTATAGAATATATTATATTATTTTTAAACCACGGAATATGTCAGCTTAATTTATCATAATATTTTTATATTAACGTATGTTATGTCAATAAGAGTCTTTCTTAATTTACCCAACTCACCTTCCAATGTTTTCTCTCTCTCTCTCTCTCATGGTCACTGTTTGAGTCATCAAAGAAATTCCAAGATTTGTACCCATATGGGGATGGTGACGATTAATTAATATTGGGTAGTTTAAGATGAAGATGATGGTGAATTCATGAAAATGGGGTTGAGTAAGGACAAGTAATTTCCTATGATGTCTATAATAATATGATATAGAAGAACAGTTGGGGCACGCAGCTCACTATTCACTGGTTTGTCTTCTTTTTGCTTCCTGCCCACCTGTTACATCAATCTATTATGAAACGGGAAAACGTTTGTAATTTTATATTAAATAAATTATATTGATAATTTTTATATTTTATATTATTTTAGCTTTTATAATTTTAATTAGTTTAATTTTGATTCTTAACTTTAATTCAATAGTCAATTTGATAACACTGCTAAGGTTTTTGAAAGAATTTTTTTATTGAATTGCTTTAAATTAAATCATTGAATTGATCAAGTTTACAATTTTATTCCCAAAGGTATGACATATATTGTTTATGTACTTATTTGTCATAAAAATATGCTAACAATTAGAATCAATTAGATTAATTTGAAATAAAATAAAAAAATTTAGGATCAAAACTGATCCAATTCAAATTACAGGGTCAAAATGATACAAATGTCAAAATACAAGGACTAGCAGTACAATTTTCCCATTTATATGTATAATTTTGGAGGAATTGAATTGAGAGACAGTTTGATGAATGAGGCAAAATCATTTAACAATTTTGAACATTTGATGATTGAGGAAAATAGTTCAGTAATTATTGAAAGTGGCAATTCTTAGATGTGAAGGGTTCCTAGCGTTCACATTAAATAAGATATACGTTTTATATAATAGAATATAAGATAAATTATAGAACAATGATATATTCTCTTAATTTTAGAGTTTTAATTGAGTTCTAATAATGTGGCAAAAAATAAGAAATAAATAAAAAATAAAACAACGCCAAAACATCACATCACAATAGGGCCCACCCTCATTAGAGCTCCATATCATTTTTGTAAATTGTATTGACATTTCCTGAGATTTAAAGAACATGCAGTAAACCCCACAAGTTTAGCATAATTATACTGAGATCTTTTAAGATTTTAATTCATATAACACTTGGTTCATTTTCATTAGAAATTCATTAGTCATATAAATGATATTATAATGATATTATCATCTCTTTTACATTGAAATGAACATTTTATATTGTATATCGTTGTGTCTCTTTAATCTTATTGAAAAGAAGGTTATTGTAATTATATCAAAATTATAGAACTTCTTGTGTTTTCTCCGAACCTCAAAAGTGATCAGTGTAATTCATTAGGAAACAGGTATATATTAGGAGACAGGGAGAGCTCTGAAATTTAAAATTAGAAGGGGGGAAAAAAAAAGAAAGGGAAATTGTTGTTTCTAGCTTTTCTTCCCTGATACATTTACACTGACGTCTAACTTGATATAGATCAATATGGACTTGCATGTTTTCACATAATATTTTAGTATCTATAAGCATTTTATTTGTACATGTCATATATTGCTATTTTAAATAAATAAATTTGTTGTGTTTTCAACATATTTTTTTTTTTTTTCTAGATATGGAATCAACACTTTGGAAATCCATACCTGTGTCTTATTTAATGGTATAAGAAAATAAAAGTGAAAAATTTGTGTACGTATATCAATTTTCCGTCAAAATAAAAGCCATTTCAATGCAAATTTTCTTCTTCTCAAAATTTGAATTGAGAAGATCTCCGCTTCAAAATTAGAAAAATTTGTGTACGTATACCAAACACACTAGTATAATTAAATATAGATAACCTCATCTCAAATCACGCTTTTAAATAATAATATTAAGATACATATCGCTATCACTATTGCAATATATCTCAATGAATTAATTGTGTTAAAATATCAAAATCTTATCATGTATAAGCCGACACAATACGTATAATATGCCTCAAAAACCAAATTTAAAGCATGGATTAATTCTATACTATCTCTCAAACACAACATTATTAATTTACTTCATTCTACACTCTCGTTAACTCTGTCTCTAACAATTACATATACCCTGTTTGTTTTCAGAGATAGAATGGAGGGGATTAATAGTGAGGGGATTCATAAATTATTTTTATATAAAATAATAAAACAAATAAAAAAATATAAAAAATTAAAATTGT